GAGAATGGGTGGCACGGCTGTTAGTATTGGTGTAAATAGTGGAAAGGATATGAGGTGCTCCAACCAAGTGAGTGGGCACCTGAATGGATATATAGTCATGTGGGAGGCTGTATGAAGTCCAGCTGGCTGATCTAATTACAGTCACATCCCTTGCAGAGAAAAGGGTGGTTTATGGGATGCATTACAACTGAGTCTGGCCTGTACCTTTAAGGCATGGCAAATTAAATGACAAAACAGCATGTGATGCTCTTGTATAAAAGTATCTGCCTCACCTTCAATCTCTCTCTGTGTAATGGAGTCAGTTTTAGTGTCAGTCAGCTATGCAGTAGCATCAATACCAGAGTATATGTGCGTAAATCTGATATGCCCTGTAAATAGTTAGCACTGTTAATAAACATCAAGACATCTGTCTCATCAAGAACCTGAATCTGTGTACTATATGTTATGTGGATTAACAAATGGATTTAACTTTCCATGCTGAAACAGCTGTGATATGGTTTCCTTCTTGGCTGTCTGCTAATCTGACTGGGCTGAGTTTGCCCGAATGGTTCCTTAATGGCATTGATCATGTTCTGTTTCATGGTGCACTTGCCAATGTTGAATTTTCTGAGTGCTTATTTCTTCCCATCCTCAAGTTCTCCGATCTATGATACACCTTTTACTCACTGTGCATAATTAGTTTTGCCCTTGTCACTTGCCAATTTCATCACTGTGGACTTTCTCCTGCACTGTTTTTTAGCTTTTGCCCAGACTTTACTTAGTCTGGTGTTGAGATGGGTGTTGACATCTGTTGTTCGCTGCTTCCTGTTGCAGCTAAGCTTCTCCATGTATTTAAGTCACTTCTGATGTTTAGACAAGCCTATGCTTCACCTGTAACATTGTACAGCTGGTGAGTTTCACTTTGGATGTTCCTTGCTGCTTCTCTCTGGTTCTTTGAGTCCAACATCATTGCCACCATGCATTATGATGGGGTCAATACTCTGCAGAGTGATCTTTAACAATTTTTATTAAACATAACTAATTACATAGCATAACAGAGGAAATCTTTATAAACCCTACAGAATCAAAGTCCCAGTACCATGTGATCAATTTCTAACACCCGCTTCTAACACACAAACTCAATTCTGGTGCCGAGAGTAAAGGTATGGTTAACCCTTTACTGCTCAGATGCCATTTGAATGAACTGCTTCCTAACAATTCCACAGAGAGGCTGCATCACTCCTTCTGTGAGATTTTATTCCACGACCATCCTCTTACATCATTTATGGCCTTCATGGAGCAGTTTTTGGGTAAGCAGCTGTTCATTATTTTCTCTGCATACAAAAGCTAATGGAGAGAAACTCAGTCATTCTGATTTACAAAGGCACCTCCCTTGTAACTTGCTCAAGAAGAAAATACATATATGTTTGAATTGCTTTGTAATCTATCATAAAAACAATAATGCCAGAAATATACAGTGGGAATTTGAGAGGATAGGTCAACATCTTGGCTAGCCATCTTTATCAGAGAACAAATATACAGTCAACTGTATCATTTTTGATTATAGATTTCCATAAGCACTACTGATTTTAAGATCTTGGAAGTAAAATGTTTACATAGATTTAAATCTGTACAAATGCACCTAAGTTCAAAATGAACAAACATCGCTCCACCCACCTATTCAAAGTGAATGACATATGGATGCACTAAGATTTCTTTTTCTGTTGGTCTAGACTGACTTCTACCAGGACCTGGTGTCAGTTAAACAAACTTGACCATGTTCAACCTACCTTCAAGAATTCTAGAAACTGCCTGTTCACCCAGTTTTGAGGGGACAGAGCACAGTACCATATTGTCTTGATGTTGGTCATCAGCATTTAACCAAGAAAGTGATATTGCAAACATTCCTGCTGCTTCATTTAAATGTCTCTGTAAGGCCTTCATATAAAGCTGGCCAAATTTTCAGAAATGCACTAGAAAGCCTGGGGCATTGTGAAAAGAGGAAGGGGGAGGCCCAGTAAAACAGATCCTATCCTCTTTCCTGCTCTTGTAACTATGGAAATTGTTGATAGTCAGGAGTCAACATCAGGTAAATCCACCTTTTAGTTTTTGATGGTTGTAGTTTTGAAGAAACTAAAGGCAAGGATGTCCCATGCATATTTATGTAATGATGAAAGGTTCATAGACCAGGAAACTCAGTTTTGACTTTACCGTCATTAATAATACGTCACCGCAAGATGTCATTTATTTTAAAGGATATAGGAAGCTAGGTATCTCACCCCCGACTCCCAAAGCCTGCTCACTATCTACTAGATACAAATCAGGAGTGTGATGGAATACCCCCTACTTGCCTGGATAAGTGCAGCTGCAACAGCACTCAAGAAGCTTCACACCATCAGGATAAAGCAGACTGCTTAACTGACACAACATTCACTCAATCCATGATCGACACTCAGTCGCAGCAGTGTGTACCACTTACAAGCTCCTTAGACTGTACCTATGAAACCCCATGACCACTACCATATAGAAAGACTAAGGAAGCAGACACGTGGGAACACCATTGTCTGAAAATTCCACTTCAAGCCACTCACTATCCAGGTTTCAATGTCACTGGGTTAAAATCCTGGAACTCCAGCCCTAACAGCATTGTCGTCTGCAGCAGTAAAAGAAGGTACTTCACTACCACCACCTCAGGCAAATAGGGATGGAAAGTAAATACTGACCAGTAACAAAATTAAAATAAAAAAAGACAACAACGCAAAACAACGAACTTCTGAAGAAGAGTCACTGGACCTGAACCATTTACTCTGCTTTCTCTCCACAGATGCTGTGAGACCTCCTGAGTTTCTAAAGCAATTTCTGTGTCCACACTTATTAAACTGGATATTGAGTCCTGAAAGCTGCAGGTTCCCCAAGTGGAAAATGAGATGCTGTTTTTCCACTTTGAGCCTCGTCTCGCTGGAGCACTGCCGTTGGTCCGAGACAGAAATATTGGCCAGGGAACATAATGGTGTGTGGAAGTGACAGGCAACAGGAAGCTCGGGGTCATTTTTGTGGACAGAACGTCGGTGTTCCACAAAGGGGCCACCCAGTCTGCATTTCATACCCCCAGTGTAGAAGAGACCACATTGTGAGCAATGAATACAGTGGACTAAATTGAGTAAAGTGCAGGCAAATTGCTGCTTCACTTGGAAGGTATGTCTGGAACGTTGGGTAGTGAGGAGGGGAGAGGTAAACAGGCACGTGTTGCACCTTCTACAGGGGATTGCATGGAAGGTGCTCTAGAGGTGTAGGGAGATGTTGAGAGTGGAGGAGAGGGTGTCCCAGAGGGAAAGATTGCAGCAAATTGCTGACAAGGGAAGGGAGGGTAATGTGTATCTGGTGATAACATCCCACTGGAGATGACAGAACAAATTGCAAATTGCATCGTATTGCAGCAAAGAAAAAATCCATTCAATCTAACACATCTGTGCCAAAGTTCATCTTCCATATGAGCCTCCTCTCACCCTTATTCACCTAACCTTATCTTAGTATTCTTCTAATACTTTCCTGCTCATGTGTTTATCTAACTGCCCCTTAAATGTATCTATGCCAGTTATTTGAACATTTCCACTTGGGGTAAGAAAGTTTCCCTAAATTCTCTACAGAATTTATTACTTAAATGTCTAATCCCTGCTGAATTTTGGTTTCCATAATGCATTACGAATGTGAAGGAAATTCAGTTGGAACTAGTTTTAGATTAAACCTAATAAACTATGCAATTTGTTACCAGATGTAAGACTGAAGCTGGATAGTACCTATTGGCTTAATAGGTAAATACGATTTATTTCTAACTACACAAGAGATTGATGTATTTATTGACAAGGTAGAATGATGTGGTTGACAAATATTTAAAAAGATACATTGGTGCTTGTAGTCATTTTGTTTAAAAATGGGATTGTGGAGAATTGGTGTTTTAAATAACCTTTCCATGGAATTGCGTGACCTTGGTTCATCAGAATATCTCGGTGAGATTTTGCTCCTGTATAATACAAATTCTATATTGCCAATAACAGACATTATTCTCATTTTGTATACATTTTAGTGGGAGAAAAGATTGGCACAGGTGTAAAGTGTGCTCTTTGACTTCAATTGACACAAAATGCACCCAGCAACCACACAGACATGCAGCACAAGATTAACTCATTTCCTATTTTCTTATTTTAAGCACAAGCCTTTGTGACCTGTTAACTAAGGTGATTTGATAGACCTTATAAAAATATTGATAAACCCTGGCCAATTCCACCATTCGCTTACCAATCTCTGCTTTTACAATGATAAAACATAATATTTGGATAATTACTTGATATTTGTATACAAACAACAAACACAGTCACATACCAGTACCTTAGAATGCACAATCTTTAAAGAAAAGGAATTTTATTGGCAGCTTGCAGCCAATGTTAGAATTGTGTGAAAAAACTGAGATTTTATGTTATAGTTTTCAGCAATGAAGCATTCTTGAATGTTGCTGAAAGATAATCTCGAAATCAAAAAAAATCTTTCAAGATATCTGTAGCATCATTCTATATTTAAGCATTGAGGCTATTTTGCTGAGGCTGATGCCCTTTACAGCTCCTTCCATGTGATTTTGAATTACTGAAAGGTGAGATTTAGTCTGTCATCAATTTCTCCTAGGGCTCTTGAGCATCCGACAGCCTGCTCCTTTGATGGCATGCTCCTGAAAATCTCTTTTTGTTCTTTATCTATTTGAACTGACAGTGATCAGGGCCACAACAGGACAGGCATCTCATGAGAAATCACCTTCCTCCCAGTCTATTGACAGATTCCTCTGTTCTGAATCAAACAGACCTTGTTCCGTCACTTGAATCAAGGGTGGGGAGTAGCCTCCAATTAGACCCCGGGAGCCTTGTAAAATCTGCAACCACTTTTATGTGTCTGTTCAGATTAGTCGAGGTGAGAATATGCCCGTCACCGTTTATGTGTAGCTCCCTGTCTCAATTTTATCATTGCCTCCACAGGTGCGAGAAGTGCGATCGGAGCTTCACACAAGCCACGCAGCTGAGTCGGCACCAGCGGATGCCCAATGAATGCAAGCCAATAACAGAGAGCACAGAATCAATTGAAGTGGATTAACTGATTGACTGGCTGGAATTAAACTGCAAGGAAAGTCATGATTAAATGTCATGGACACTTAAGCAAAACCAAAGATTTCCTCTGAGCAACTTTCAATCAGTCCCAGAAAACCAAAAGCAGTAACAAAATAAGTAAGATGTTTAAAGATATTGATCTTGGCATGGGGAGAGAGAAAAGGCGACCAGAAAAAAAAAGATTATTTATTTATGATTAGAGACACGACTCATTTCAATGGACAAAGTCAAAAATTAGGAGACTTGCATAGATTCTTATGCCCAGAATTTCTAAGAACCTTTTAACTGATATTTAATACCAAAGCTAGAAAGAAATATTAATTAGTGGGTTCAGCAATCCACAGTTGTGACTGAGAATGCACATTGTTTTATTGCACCTTTTTAAGCATGACTTGAGGAACACGGATTCTTTCTCAATTTTTCCAGTGGTAATGTCTACATGGTAACATGAAAAGCAAAACTTTGCATTTTGAATTAAAGAGTCCCAGATTCATTGTAAAATACAAACAGAGGTATGTTCAGTATATTTTCCTTGTCCAATTATGGCTCTCTGCATTGTTCAGTATTCTACACCTTTCAAAAATAAAACAATCTTCCTATTTTACTGATCAGACATTCAAAGTGTAAAACTGCATCAAAGCAACATTTAATGAAAATGTATTGCTGTAGGACAGCTGCCAACCTGTCTGCCAGCAGAACCACTATATCAGAGGCACATATGTAAGTTGGAACAAACATTTGGCCATAAATTGTCTGGCAGAATAATAATTCAGCCTGTGTTTGGTTTATGGGTGAAATGCCTTTTTTGATTACATTATCCTGCATGATTAATTCTCCTAAACACATCTATTACTTTTGAGCACCAAACTTAATGTAAAACTAATGAAAATGTGTCTAACACTTGTTAAATTAGCAATTTGGAACCGGAACATCTAAATTGCAGAGGAAAGACAACACTGAATTCGTAGTATCAAATATGTTCCAAGCAAAAGGGTCTGTCTACACTTTCATGTTGTGTGACTTCCATTACAATGCTGAAATCAACCTAAAGTGAATGAAGTTTGGTCAATGATGTGACTGGTATGAGTCTGCTCCCAGTACTGAAGTCAATGCTTGTGTGTCTGGAAAAAGTGAGCCACACTGGTCATTCTGGTATATCTGTAACTCAAAGAATGCATAATACACTTGGCATGAGAGAAGCTTCATGATTCTGTCACTTCATTCAAATGGCATTGGTGTTCTAGTCCTCCTCTTGCAGCACAAATGCACCTTCGGAAGATATGTCTAGCTATTGAATAATATATTTAGAATGTTGACATGTTCAAAAGTCATCCTCTGCACAGAACAAATATTGTTTATTAATTACATTACTCACCATTTTATTCACACACAAGTTTTCATTGATTTTATTACTACAGTAAGCCACAGAGAAAAATGCAACAAATTACTTATGTATCAATAGGTGTTAAACATCCAGCACATACTCCTAAATATTGCACCTCGCATTTCCATTTACTGCTAGATACAATGAATGACTAATATCAAACACTTAAAGCCAAAAAACCCCAATAATAACAGGATCTCACTCAATACAATAACCACGGTTAGTTATATTCTGAATCTTGTGCATAAAAATGTCTTAAAAGGTACTTTCATCGTTGAAGCAGCAAAACACTAGCCAATGGATTGATATTCAGAACACTTAGCTATGCATGACTGTTGAGCAATCAGATATCATTGAAAGCACTTCACATGGGAACAAAAGCCAGGAGGGTTATTTTTTAGTATACCACAGGGCAAGGTCACTGTGTTTAGATCCTTTGCTGGCTGTCATAATATTTCTGATTTTTTTGAAGTTTACTTCAAATGAAGAAAGAAATATTTGTGACAATGCAATTTTACTTTACTCAATTTGTATATTTTTGGATTTTGACAGCAAATCTCCTGGTAGCCAGAGCTAATAAAAAACCAAAAAAAACGGAAGGTTGAATTTTAACATTCAACATAAAAAGTACTAATGTTATGCTTTTTCTATAGTAAGCATATAGTAGGAATTATGCTTTGAAAGACAAGAAAGTGCTTCATTCTTTTGCAACTAGTAACTGTCCTATTGTGGTATATCCTTACTACATCATAACCACTATAAAAATGATCAAGGCTAAACCTTTATACTTCTGCTTTTTGCAAACAATTTCTCGCAGGCCTTTTTTTTTGTTGACGGGAATTGCAAACTATTATGTATAATACTGTGCTTTACTTGTTAAGAAGTCTTTTTTAATAAGTTGATTGGTGCCAGAAATTAATGACTACAGGCTAGTCATTCAGAATTTTGGATGCTACTCAATTACCCATTAACAATCGATCATAGTTCCATACCCTATTGGATACAAATGCTAAATACATGACATATTACAATGTACCACTCACAGACCACATCTTGAATGACTCAGAAGTTAGCAATGGAACTAGCTTGGCATGATAGTTGGCAAATGTAAAACTATCATAAACCAAAAACAAAAATAAAATTAATAACATGTGAAAAATACAATGATTAGCATACGATAAGAGACTGAGTGAGATGAATTATTTTTGCTTATATGTAACATTTGACCAAAAGCATACCTTTCTCCTTCAGAAATAGGTTTTGGATATTAATCATCAGTTGTGGTAGCAACGATGGAAGAAGTATCACATGATCAAACTAGAAATAATTAAAAACAGCGGTATCAACTCATGTTTTATTTAGATAAATGGTGCAAAGTATATATTGTGTCATTGATTAGCAACCCTAGATGATACAAAAAGATTTATTATGGATTAACTTTTGTTTAATGGTTTTAAATTAATTTACATTCAATTATTAATTATCCTGAATAAATTTTATTACCACAAGTTATTTTCTGAACATTTTCTGTTGAAATATGAGCAGGACTCTTTTTCATAATGTTAAGCAAACACAGCCAGAACAAATTCTAGCTCATTGTTTTCAATATTGTTCCTTAAGAAAGTAACATCATACAAAAAAATAAAATCAATACACTGACCTAATCTGAGCTAAAAATGTTGAGATCTAGTGTGTTTTACTATGACTTGCATTATGTACATATGTTTTAGTATGTCAGTCTATAGGAAAGATAGAGGAATAAAAAGAAAGCTCAATTTAATATATACCACGGATTACACATTACCATTTTAAAGACGAATACTTATTATCGTTTGATACAATCTATCACCGAATAAAACAAAAGCATTCAGTGATTTCAAGATGGCCACATCAATTTTGGATGCATTGTGTGGACTCAGTGACAACAACTTTATAAACAAACCAAGAAAGTTTTTTTTATTACTGGTATAATAATTAATGGTTTTCACTCTTCACTGTGAGCAGTCCCATAGCTCTGATTTTGGTGGTAAACAATGAGGAAGAGCTGCAAAGTGGAAGAGGTCTTTAATGGCAATGAGAAAGATAACTCTCTGGAGGTAACAGAGTGACTGTGATTTATCAATAAACACTTACTTAAAAGCAACCCTTCCCTTTTATCTTGTCTTGTTCTTTATCTTGCATAATAATAGCTACATAAAAATGGTTTGTGTATTCATCCCTAAAATTATAGGAACAAATTTTAATTAACACTGAACTTCATGTATCTGCCTTTATACTATAAACCGTCACCAAATCATTTTACATTGTAGCTTCATAATACTTTAATTATGCAGAACGTCCTCAGCTCATGCGATTAAAAGATTTACAGACATAATGAAATTTATTTACTTTTTGTATTTCAGGATTATTGTAAGTTAACAAATATTTTAAAAATTTTGCGATAAAAATAGTTATAATTGATATTTACGTAATAATGGAAAATATTATCGACACATAATCCTCTTTTATATTTCCCTTTCTCAGTGAATGCAAACATGGTATTCAATTAGAAGTTATTTAAAAATAATTTATGAAATCAAATAACATAGATGGAAAGCATTTTATGATTGGCGTCAAGATCATTGAAATGACATATTACAGTGAATGCTTATTCCATATCATTACTTTTATAAGCTGTACATTCATTTCATTTTATTACTCCAACACTCAGTCCACAATTGTGTGAAGTTACATTTTCTGGTTGCAAAAGGATCATTAATAAAGGTAGATTAATCTCCAGGGCCTGATCTAATGTATCCCAGAACGTTGTGGGAAGTAAGGGAGGAAACTGCGAGATCCCTTGAAAAATATTTAATCTAAGCATGAGTGAGATGCCTGATGACTGGAGGGTGGCTAATGTTGTACCTTTGTTTAAGAAAGGTTGTAAGGAGAAACCAGGGAACTATAAACCTGTGAGTCTGACTTCGGTTGTGGGTAAATTGCCGGAGGTGCTTATAAAAGATAGGATTTTTGAACATTTAGAAGGCAAAAATTGATTAGGGATAGTCAGCATGGTTTTGTGCAAGGTAAACCATGTCTCACAAACTTGATTGAGTTTATTGAGGAAGTTACCAAAAAGATTGATGAGGGCAGAGCAGTGAACATTGTTTACTTGGACTTTAGTAAAACCTTCGACAAGGTTCCATGTTGTTGACTAATTAGTAAAGTCAGGTCACATGGGATTCAGGGTGAGCTTGCCAATTGGATATATAATTGACTTAATGGCAGAAGACAGAGAGTAGTGGTTGGTGTGTTGCTTTTCAGACTGGAGGCCTGCCACCAGCGGTGTTCCACAGGGATCGGCTCTGGGTCTTCTTTTGTTTGTCATTTATACAAATGATTTGGATGAGAATATAGAAGGCCTGGTTAGTAAGTTTGTGGATGACACCAAAATTGGTGGCATATTAGACAGTGAAGAAGGTTTTCTAAGATTACAAAGGGATCTTGATCATATGGGTCAGTGGGCTGAAAAATAGCAGATGGAGTATAATCTGGGTAAATGCAAAGCGTTGCATTTTGATACAACAAACAAGGGTATGGCTTATATAATTAATTGTAGGGCTTTGGGTAGTGTTTTAGAATAGAGGGACCTAGAAGTAAGCTATATAATTCTTTGAAGTTTGTGTCACAGACTGCTTAAAAAGGCTTGCTTGCCTTCACTGCTCAGTCCTTTGAGTATAATAGTTAAGAGGTCATGGTGAGGTTGTACAGAACATTGGTGAGGCTTCTTCTGGAATACTGTGTATATTTCTGGTCTCCCTGTTATAGGAAGGATATTATTAAACTGGAGAGGGTTCAGAGGAGATTTACTAGGATGTTGCCGGGTATGGATGGTTTGAGTTGTAAAGAAAGGCTGGATAAGCTGGGACTTTTTTCACTGGCGCGTAGGAGGTTGAGAGGTGACCTTATAGAAGTTTATAAAATAATGACAGGTTAGACACAGTTAATGGTAGTTGTCTTTTCCCTAGGATGGGGGACTTCAAGACTAGGGAAGACAGAGGGTGGTTCACATATGAAAAGAGCTTCCAGAGGAAATGATGGACGTGGGTACAATTACAATGTTTAAAAAACATTTGGATAGGTAAATGAATAGGAAACATTTAAAGGGATATGGGCCAGGAGCAGGCAGGTGGGACTAGTTTAGTTCAGATTATGTTCGGCATGGTTTGGTTGGATCAAAGGGTCTGTTTCCATGCTGTATGATTCTATGACTCTATACTAGAGATCTTTAAATTTATTAATCATGAAACAACCTTTTGGCTTAAATGGTATGATGCTCCTGGCTGAATTAACTGTCAAAAATACAATTATTTATTCTACATTACATGGAAACACTAATGCACCGACTTCGACATTTTTGTACTAGACTGATATGTGTCTGAATATTATATGGGCACAACCGGGGGTGTTTGTGGCTGAGAGATCCCATGTAAAATAGAGAGGATACTCAGCCCATCATCTTCCCACCCACACGCATGCTCGCTCCCATAACATGAAATGTGGACAAATGTTGAATTTAGCAGCTCACTCGCTACATACAAAACGTATTTAAATAGCTGAAGGGAGCAGTGTGTTGTCTATGGAAGGTGCCATTTGCCCACTGGAGACATCACCCCAGAAGATAGCATGCCTCCTTCCTCCTTCCTCACGTGGAATTTAAGCCATTTGACCCTTCATAACTTTGACCTTTTTACTTCACTGATATCACAGAAATCCGGCAGAACAGATCACCTCCACATTGTGGGACCTGCTCAACTTTCATCCCATTGATTTCAT